CTTGGATCTCAGTGACTTTTGATAGGGCTGACCTTTGTGCCTTTGAAATCTACCCCTTGGTCTCTGCAAAGCAGCGGCTTCCCATGTGGTCTGTTATGTTTACAATTATGAGTGGTGTTTCTGTGACCTCTTTTCACTCGTTACCACTGCACTTAATATCATAGCAAAAGAAAGGTAATGATTCTTTTTTTGCAATTGTAACTAAAATGCTACCATAGCAGAGGGTATGTGCTGGCCAAGGTCTTTATTATGCAACTGTATGCAGATCACTGTGAATTGCATCGTTCATCTAGTTCAGTGATGCAGCACCAAGGTCACCGGGCATTTTTAAGCTAATGATAAGACCATAAGTCTAATAAATGTGCTTGGTAATCACAGCAAACATATTGTCATTGTTGCAGAAGTTATTCTTTCAAAATCACTTGGCAAATGCAACTAAAACACAGCCCTTGTGCGTGCTTTGACCTCTCATAAGAATGCACCATCAGGAACATTGCAGAGGTGAGGTTGTTTAAGCAGACAAGTCATGGCCTACAGCTACAAAATCAGTATTTCTAATAATGCCGTTGCAGTTTGCTTAGAATGAACATGCAAGAGGCTAAATGAACATGGAATCAGTGAAGGGCAAATTTTGACTGAGAGATTTTGAAAAGGTACATATCCATTAGTAATGCCAACACAGGTAGAGATCAATTTCATATTACAATGATCTAGGCAGGTTGACATTAATTATCCAGCTTATTTTTGTAGCCATTATACTGCAGTAACCCATTACTTGCTGATCCAGTAGCCTTTTGTTACCTGTCAGAAAATACATTAACCAGCAAATGCATCATGTCACTGTGAGCTTTGCCATTATATGCAGTGATTCTCCATAAGGCTTATCAGATGCTGCAACTGGTGATTTCTTTGAAAGGATATACATCATCAGGCTAGGTCACCAGATTGCTAATGTTATGCCCTCAAAAAGTGATGATGTAGTGCTCAGAACTTGTTGCAGCTCCAGTATCTTGCAACATATCATATATATATATGTATATTTTGATTTTTACAAATGTATATGTATATCATACATATGTATATTTTTGGCTACCAGGCATGAAAAAGCCCACAGCAGACCACTAAATACACTCCTGACAATAGGGCAGGAAAAGGCAATTTAAAACAGACAGAATTTATTGAATTCTTGCTTCACTTATACCCATTATTAATATGAATAAAGGTCAGTAATTCAACATTACTGCAAAATTCACTTAAGACCATTCAATGGACAGAAAATGCCAACATGTGAAGTCGGCTGTTTAGCAAGGAGCTGAAATAAATGTGGTGGCAAGAGAGGTCTAAGACAAGACACAGAGCTGTCACATCTCATTCTCAAATGACATAAACAATGCAGTCATGAAATCAGTTTCACTGCTTTTGTATATAAGCCTTCTGTGGCTTCCATGCTAAAAAATGGAAAAATAATATTACCCTTTGCTAATGGAGGTAGTTCATAAGGACACACGGCATGTGTCCAATTCAATGCATCAGCAGCTTGCAATCCTCAATTCAGTTTACCAACAGTTAAACTATTCAAGGCCTGTATTATAAGCTTTTAGAGGTGACGTCTGACAAGATGATTTTTGATAAATAGTGGAACCTTGGTACTACAAACATGGCCCTTGGCTTGCCAAGGAGAGCACGTCTCTGGATGCAGCCTGACGTTTTGTCAGCAGCTGCTGTCCGACCCACGCTATAGTCTCCTCTCACTTGGTATATGTTCACTTTCATATGCTGCTGCATTTTGTTGCAATAGAACAGCAAAATGTTTAGACTACAGCAGAATGCTGCAAGATTATTTCTGAGGGTGACCTTGAGTACGTCTGGCACACAAGAAGTGCAGTGGAAGGCAGGCAAGCACTTGTCTCCTGTACCTCTCCTATATTGCCTGTGTACAACCCTGGTGTCACCATTTGAAATAACAGAAAGAAACTAAGTAAGTGCCCATTTTTGTGTGTGAATGCACATTCAGAATTGAACTTGCATGTGCATGCTATGAAAAACAGGAAACCAAAGACAGATTAGAAACCTTCGCCCTCCAAAACCGTGATTATTTTTTTCCCTTTCGCTTTGAAGCTTATGTTTAAGTCTTGTGATTTTTTTAACTCTTCAGGGTGGGAAGCATGAATTAAAAATCAGTCTGTGACCCATTACTATTTTATAATCCTCTCTTTGGCAAGTTGAAAGTAACAGCTTGCCAGGCTTGTATTTAAACTTTCATGGAATGATGCAAGGGAGTGGAATACAATGGCCCAGGCAAAAGAAAATACAGGAAAGCTAGGTGGTGTTGGGAAAGCCTGTCCAGAGAGTCAGAACAAGAGTTTATTGCCAAATATACATGTTTTGAACTGATCTTAGATCAAAACAACATTTATTTTTTGAAGAAGTAACAGTTTGCAATAGTGACCATAATATTTTTAGATTCAGGAAGCACACAGGAATAAGAGGGCCAAAACCATCACCATGGCTGTGCTGACCTTCAGGAAGGACAGCTAGGTAAAAATGAGGAATCTTGTTTCAAAGAAGTAGAAGAAGGATGGCTAAGAGAGTTAAACCCTCTCACATGGCATAGAGACCCCTGAAGGACACCATACTGGGAGCACAGCACCAGTGCATACTGCTTGCTGGAAATCCCTTGGGAATGGGTACAAGAAAATCAGCACGGCTAAGCAGTAAAGCAAGGGAAGTTATTGGAATTAAGAAGTTAGCATTCAAAGTGATGAAGATGTATCTCAGTGAAAAAAAGAAAAAAGTTATAAATTCTGAGAGAATAAACATAAAACTATAATTAGACTAGCGTTTGCTTTGTAAATGTTGTGGCAAATTTTCAAGGTGTTCATTTTCCCCGTAAGTAATTTGACTTGTCTATGACATCAAAAGACAAATTGATGGCTTGATTCACTGGTTCCCCTGCCATTCACATCATGCAGATCAGGATGAAAATGAATAGAAAGTGCTGTGGAATAGAGCCATTTTATACTTGTTTTAGTCAGTATGAATGATAATAGGAAGTGTAGAACAAAAATGGATCTAAATGTTTCTGAACCATCTTTTCTGAACTTCAGAAGTGCAACCATATGAATCTTTCCCCATTCAGACATGAGAATGCCATTATTGCATGGTAAATCAAACTGCCTGATTTTATAACAATACCCTGGAGTCACTTGACATGTTTATCTGTGCCTCATTAGTGGCAAATTTACTCCTTGATACAGCAGGGCCAAATCTGTCGCACTTACAAATGCCAATCATCTTCCAAATTCACACACTTCCCACTTACATGCAGCTAGATCCTGCCTAGTTATAGCCACAATTTGCTCCAGGGTCATACCTCCAACTTTGCCTCTCTGTGCCTGTATTCCTAGCCTTGCAACAAAGAAATGGATAAATGCAGCAAGAATTTTGCCATAAATGAGTTGTGATTTTTTAAGGAATTGGCTAAGTACACATTACCTTTTTTTACTTCTCATGACCCCTAGTCTGAACTAGTTCCACTGGAGTTCAGTAAAATGAATTCCAGAATAGTTTGCACAAGAGTTCTTAAAAAAAAATCAAATATGCCAGCAATGGGAAATATTTTTAGCAAAGGCTCTTTCAATTCAGAAACAGAATCACTAGCTTGAGGACAAACTGATCATCTAATTTACCTCTGACCTGAAAAGGATTAGGTACACAATTCATTTTATGTATTCTTGAGCAGTTTTGCCATACTAAGCTTCTGCATAAGTGCTTGCACTATCAGGACCCTCTCTCACAGAATCATTGGTCCTCTGTCTAGAGAGACAAATATTTTGTAGGCATTTAACCGAAGAGTTCAAAATAATGAATAAATAGGAGGATAATCAAGATCTTAAAAATATACATCAAGAAGGAAGACACCCTAAAACACAGATGAAAAAATCTGCTGCCATTCATTTCCTTCACATTTCCCTTTATTTCATCTATTTCTTTTCCCTAGCCCTTTCTACAGCTACATTCATTTTCTCTACCACTGCGTGCTGGATTTTCCTCTTGTTATGACTGCACACACATCTCCATTTCCTCTTGATGGCTTGATACTTCTAATATTGTATTTTGAAACATCATCTGGTGCATTCCGTGCATCATTGCTATTATAAAAATGTTAGGTTCCTGTAAAACTAAAAGCAGCAAATAGATTGGGGGGGGAGCAGATAAAATTGTGGAGATTTGTATTTTGCTTGCTCAAATACAGTTCTGCCTTTCAGGAGACATTTTTAGGAGTTGCCTTTGCTTTGTGTGGTGCTTTTCTGCAGTGATAGCAGGCGGTGGTTTAGTGGCAATTTTAAAATATAACATTATTGTACATCACAAACAGTACAATAGTGTTTTGGACAGCAGCACCTCTTAAAAAAAAAAACAAACCAGGATGACATTCCTAGTTGCCTCCCTCTGTTGTAGCAACCTGTTCTTGGACAATTCTTCAACATCACAAAGCAGGGCCACTCATTCTTCTGTTAAAAAAACCCAAAGCCACATACATAAATTCTGGATATTAATTAGTAATCATATAAGATGGCAAGCTAGTTTTTTTGAAACAAATAAATTTGTAGTTTCACTTGATTTACTACGTCTATTAAATATTTACATTATTGCTTTCCAGTTACTCTCTAGTATACGTATTATATATTAAACACTCAGAACAGATTTTTTTTTTAAATTAGCATTTATTTCATATTTTTTCACCTTTACTACTTCCTCAATACAAATGTTTTTCTTTAAGATATAAGACTTTCAAAACACCATTATTGCAGTCATCTACCTGTTAGCTTGATTTTTTATTTCATTATCAGCCATTAGGCAAATAAAAGGTAAGTCATATAATCTAATTCTGTTAATGGAACTTAATGCAACTCTAGGCAATCTAAAAATAAGTAAATAACCCCTTGCCCCTGCAACAACCATAAACAGACTGTAATAAGGCTACCAGAAAATACATCTCAGAAAACTGTTAGAAGTGCAAAAAGTCCATAAAGTAAAGCACACGGGTACGCAATAAGAAGCTGCTGTCCTTCCATACCCAATGCAGAGGTAAAAATTTTGGAGGCTGACAAACTGCACCATCCAATAACAAACAGAGCTAACAAAGTTCCCGGGATCCCCCTAGGAGAAAAAAAACAACAAAAGAAACAGGGCAGAGTCCACTTGTTAGTAAATGTAGCACCAAATCTTATCAAACTCAAGTTCATGTCTAGCAGCTTGTTAGTGATAACGTAGCAGTCACTGGAAGAACGAAGGACTGACTGACATAATGAAAGTCAAGCCTCAGAAACAAATTAAAATAGTAACAGGAAACAAAAAGGTAATTTCTTCAGCATGGATAAAAGCAGCAGCTTTATCAGAAGTACTGCTAAAAGGACAATGCATTTCCAAATAAATCTTCTGGGGCTCCAGCAGATGCAGCAGCCAAAGTTTGATTTTAAAGTTAGCAAAGATCCTGTTGCAGCCAAAACCATCTTGTAGAAGTTGTTAGGATCCAAAATGACACTACAGACCTACTCTTCCATCGGACAGCCTCGTGACCTGGAGGGGTTGCATTTTTGTAACAATGGTACAGGTTTTAAGCGTGCCTCGGATTCTGAGGAGAGGCAATGAGGCTCTTAAAGAATCACACCTGAGCTGAGTAGGCAGAAAGGTGGTCGCTGCCTCCCAGGAGAAAGCTCTAACTGGTCTTTTAAAAAAGGGCGCACATTGAGTAGAAAGTAAAGGATGGGAAAAGAACCACTGAGCAAAACTATTTTGCTCATCCTGGCATCCTTCTCTGCACACTGAAAGGACGGTGGCTTTCCACACTGCCCCTTGGTGACAGCTGGGCCCTTCTGAAGTTACATTCTGCCACCTCTCAGGCACAGGGTGGCCTGGAGAACTGATGATTATGGGACTATGGTCAAAAGCTCCCTGAAATATTCCTGCAGATTACAGAGAGCTCACTATTAAACCCTGCGGGAACAAAATCTTGCCAATAAATAATGCTTCACATATGCTTTATTTGCACTCTGTATTTGCAGCCTGCTTCTGTAAAATGCATGAGATCACGTGCGTAATACACTGCTGAAGTACATAGTGAGATCGGCTGTGCTACACACATTCCCTGTGTCAGTCTCAAGGACTCTGAGAATGAACGAACGAACCTCTGCCACTTGCTAAAGGACTTCCTGGTGCCCCACTCTTCCAAAGTATCAGCAAAACAGAACCAGAAGTGAGAAACAGACTACGTATACTTACTTAGGTCCATTTCTCAGAAATAATCTCCACTAATATTATTATTGCAATTACACCATGATGAGTGAAGCTCCTCTTATTTAATTCACTTAGTTTACTTAATCCAATCGTATCACATAAAATGGTTCACTTCTTGGCAATCCAGTCTCCAGGCCAATAAAGTACTTGGTGTTGTCAGCTCTTGGGACTTTGGGGGAGGAAGGAGAGAATTGATTTTAAGGTGGCTCAGCAGCTCATTGCAACTTCAACCCATTAAAAATAAAACATTAACGACCATGTGATTTAATATCCTCAGTTTAAGTGTTCTTTAAACCTATACAGTAACATTCAGGGAAATTACACTGGGCTCTGTGAACCAAGTTCCTGGCCTCTGCTCCAAGTGGAGATGCCAAGATCCTCACCTAAACAGTTAGCCAGAAATTCAGAGCTGGTATGTATGGATGGCTTTTTGAGCAGGTACCCATGCTGGCAGAGGGATGGGATGCAACAGGAACATACTGTGCAATGACAATTTACAGCTAGTATAATGACCCTTTAGGGGGCTATCACAATGTAGTACAATTTAGAGCTGTGGCTGCTCTGCCTTGCACTGAGGTCCAATGGCCTCTCATGGTTTGTTCTAGGACTGGCAGTGAGCACAATGGAAAGGTGACGTAAAATCATACTGGAGCCGAAAGATACCTCTGTGAACTTACAAATCCAGTCCTTGATCTAACAGTCCTTGATCCTTTTGTTACTGCCAAAAGGAATGGTCTGGCTTTAGTGGAGACCTTGTGTCTGGCATGCCCACGAGGGCCAAATTCTCAAGCATAGGAGAAGGGCAAAGGCAGATGTCAGGCAAAGGCAGATGTCATGCTCACAGTGACCAAGAGGACTGGGGGTGTACTGGTATGAGATTGAGTTGGGGGGACAGACATGAGTGGACCCTCTCCACTCCTCTCTCTCACAACCCGCAGATGCAGTCACCAAATGGGTCCTTTGCGTCAGCTGGGTCTAAGAATTTCTTTTTCCACCGTTACATTCATTTCCTTCACTGTTTAGTTAAGGAAATGGCTTGACCACTCTGTTCAGGGATTTGATGGTAAAGAATTGTTGTTTTTTCCAGGAAAATGGTCTGCTGATGTTTCTCCCAGAAAGATGGCCTAATCAGCTTGGGCTCAGACATGATATCAGCATAGATGGGCACAAACAAATCTGGTTTCATGCAAGTTTGCATAAAAGAACTGGTTTTCTTTCTGGTACTATTCACCACACAAAATGTTCATATTTTGCTTTATTCAGTTACAGTCAAATAGCTAATCATGAAAACTGAAAGTTGTTGGATTAGTATGTATCTTTGCAACAGATGTGCACATTATCTTATGTATATTTTCTGTGAAAACAAATATTGAAGTTAGTTCTTTACACCTCGAAATAGACAGAAATAACATTTTTACAAATATTAAAAAAAAGAATGTATTGCTGTCTTTCCTTTGCCATTTTAAATAAGTTTTTAAATTAAAAATATTGAAATGTATGTTGGATTTAAAAGTTGCCACTTAATTTTAATAGCATTTTCGTAACTGTTAACTTTGGTACTTGCTGTGTTCAAGCAGTTTCATATAGTGAATGAGAAAGGACTGCAGAATCCTGCAGATAGACACTCAACGTTATCAGTTCATTTCAGATATAATGGTTTAATTTTGTAAAGGCTATCACAGTATAGTATTTATAGATTTTCAAAAGATGTGCTTTCTGTAAATTTGCAGCATTTTACAAATGTGCGGCGTGTGCTTGGGGATTCCTTGTACAGACAACAGTACCCTGTGCAGTTGTAACAGCTGGTTTGGAGTTTGCCCCATCTGTCTATGATTATGTATCTGCACTTTTTATTAGGGTGGATTATTAAACAGGTTAATCAAGAAAATATGGGAAGTGTAGGAGAACAGAGAATAAAAGGCTTCTTCAGTGTCACTCCTGTTCATCTCATCAAGGACAGCTCAGAAACACTTTGATACATGGAATGTGGTCAGGTTAACCCATCATAGCTCCACAGAATCCATGCACCAAGGATTGTGCCAAAATCTTCATCCCACTATATAATTTCCTTAAAAAATAATATATACAAAATTCCTGCTTTTCCAGAAAAAACAAACAGGGGCACTTTCTTATTCATCAGCTGCCAAGTCCCATACATTACAAATTGGAAAGTTAAAAATGTGAGTGAACAACGAAGAGTAAGGAGGGGAACCATTATTAATAATGTGTTAACAATGGATAAAAGTACTGCTCAAGGCCTTCAGGCAAGACCTGGAGCTTCCTTGTACTTTGCTGTATGTGAACAGGGAGGTAAACACTGTCTGTATCTCAAAAAGCTTACCATATGAGGAGGAAGAAGAGGCTTGCATACAAATTTCCTATTCATAGGCATATTACTGAACACCTCCCCCCACACGCACAGATGCATATGCCACACACATTTGGTTTTTCAAAGTTTTGAGTTATTCTCAGGTTTGCAATTACACCACAACTATACCTCAGAGTATACGACTCTACTACATCTTAAACACTTGTTCTAATGCTCCAAATCATTAAGGGTTGCTTGATTATTTCATTCTGTCACACAGAAATCTGTCTACAGCAGGAAAGGAAGCATAAGGATGGAAGCCTGATACTGTGAACAAAAAAAGTACTGGGAGAACCAGCTACATAAAACCAAAGTCCGGCAGTCGCTTTTAAAATTGATACTCAAGTTTGGCCACTGTTGGCTCTGCAAACAAAAATCACATTTGAGGGTGCTGCAAAAATCAAAGGCACTCTCAGTTCAAGTGGGAAACTGCGGAATTAAGGGCTCATATTAAAATGAATATATATCACCCTTCTCAAACGCAGTCCAGTTTTGTCCATTTCCACCTACACACACAAACAAAATGGTGTTTTTCTTCACAGATTCGGAAGCCAAAATTCACTACCTAACCATTACAAAATGTTTTGTGTAACACCAGCCTTCTGACTTACTGCCCTCCATATGATTCCTGTTGCCATAAACTGGTACTTACTGTAGCGAGAAGACGACTGCAGAAGAGGACAAGATCACCATGGGCAGCAGGCAATAGCCCAAGACACTTGCAACGCAGCCATGCGAGACTCCTGGGACGCTCATCAGGTTCAGTAGGGCATGCATAGCAAGGCACCCAATGGCACTCATGCCATACACATAGCCGAAATGAACTTTTCCTGCCTGGAATAAATATGAGTAAGCATGAAGTGTCGGAAGTGAGCAAGTGATTGCAAAATGGGGGGAGAAGACAGAAGGCAAGCACTAGGTTTGTTACTTTTTCTTGCTGACCCTCCCTCTCTGCTTCGCCTACATCAGTTCAGTTGTAAACCACAGCTGATATTTTGGGGTGATCTTTGCATTAAAAAATTCCAAGGTACAATTGTGAGAATGTCCTTGTCACTAACTTAAAGTTATAAGGCTGATTCTCAGTCTTACTGTCATTGGGCTCTGAACAGGACAGGAATTGGTTTGGGAGACTTGGGAAGTTCTAACTGGTAACAAACTGAGAAGAAATTATGGAAAGCACATTTTAGTGTGAGGAAACATATTTCCAACAGGTTTATATGGGGCTGTGGAAAAGTGTCCTAAGCAAAACAATGACCCGACTTACTTGATATGCTTCACATATTATTACAAACCTCCAGCTTTAAGAAGGCCTGCAAAAAATACTAAAACTTTGCTGAAAGTATGCTGGTTTTCAGGGTGAATGTCTTCCCCTTGACTACCATGAGAAAGACACATGGTTGTGGTTAGATCAATACAACACATTCATTTCAACATAAACCTGAGTAGTAACTGTGTATTGGGTTTGCGTGGCAAGGTTTTGGGGGGGGTACAGGGGTGGCTTCTGTCAGAAGCTGCTGGAAGCTTTCCCTATGTCTGATGGAGCCGATGCCAGCCAGCTCCAAGACGGACCCGCCGTTGGCCCAGGCCGAGCCCATCAGTGATGGCGGTAGGGCCTCTGGGAGAACAGATTTAAGAACGGGGGGGGAAAATGCTGCGCAACAGAAGACTGCAGCCAGAGAGAGGAGTGAGAATATGTGAGAGAAACCACTCTGCAGACACCCAGGTCAGTGAAGCAGAAGGGGGAGGAGGTGCTCCAGGTGCCAGAGCAGAGATTCCCCTGCAGCCCGTGGGGAAGACCATGGTGAGGCAGGCTGTCCCCTTGCAGCCCAGGGAGGCCCATGGTGGAGCAGATATCCACCTGCAGCCCGGGGAGGACCTCACGCTGGAGCAAGTGGGTACCCGAAGGAGGCTGTGACCCCGTGGGAAGCCTGTGCTGGAGCAGGTTCTTGGCAGGACCTGTGGATCTGTGGAGAGAGGAGCCCACGCTGGAGTAGGTTTTCTGGCAGGACTTGTGACCCTGCGGGGGACCCACGCTGGAGCAGTTCGTGAAGAACTGCAGCCTGTGGGAAGGACTCACATTGGAGAAGTTTGTGGAGAACTGTCTCTTGTGGGAGGGACCCCACGCTGGAGCAGGGGAAGAGTGAGGAGTCCTCCTCCTGAGGAGGAAGGAGCAGCAGAGACAAGGTGTGATGAACTGACCACAACCCCCATTCCCCGTCCCTCTGTGCTGTGGGAGGGTGTAGGTAGAGAAAAACGGGAGTGAAGCTGTCCCTGGGAAGAAGGGAGGGGTGAGGGAAAGGTGTTTTAAAATTTGGTTTTTATTTCACATTACCTTACTCTGATTTGATTGGTAATAAACTAATTTCCCCAAGTCAAGTCTGTTTTGGCTGTGATGGTAATTGCTGAGTGATCTCCCTGTCCTTATCTTGACCCACGAGCCTTTCATTGTATTTTCTCTCCCCCGTCCAGCTGAGGAGGGGAGTGATAGAGCCGCTTTGGTTGGCACCTGGCATCCAGCCAGGGTCAACCAGCCACAAACTGTCAGCTTGTGTTCTTTTTTTGTTCCAAGGAATGAAAAAAAACCCCAGGTGTTTTTTTCTTCCAGGTTTTATTCCTTTGTGGGAATTTAGTGCCTGTGAAAGGTACCAGCCTGACAGCCTGGAGCCTGATGTTTTCTAATTTATACACAAAGCTAGTACAACAGGCAACAGTGGCCACAGCACCACCGATTTCTTCATCTCCTGCCATCATTTTGAAGGATCACCTCCAGGCATGAGGGCATTGTTCACTCCCAGAAATGAACACTCACAAAAGACTGCTAAATATTTCTTCTCTCCCTTCAAGCTTCTAACAAATGAAATACTGAATGTCGGCTATGCAATACTGTCATTTTCACATCTGTATATCAGAAATAAACATTTGTACATCAGAAATAAACAGTGATTGGGAAGAAGATGGTTTTGTTTGCTTTGTCCTGGAACTTTGTATCCTAATGATAACATGCATTTGTGAAGTACAGAGCTCAAACCTGGGACTCAACCCTTAACTCAGGACCATGGAATACACTTCTCAAATGGAGGGCCATAATGCATCACCTTCCTAACACATAACAATCCGTATATACTACTTAAAACACAAGTGTGTTTGTGCATACACACACATCCATATATTGCACATTATACATTGCATATGATAAACCACATAAAAATCAGAACTAACAGAGGGTCTCAGTTTTCTAATAATTTTGTAGCTTATGGTTGGATTCTCTTGTGATGGATAAGGTGGAAACATTATTGAAGCTTCTTCCATGGTTTGCAATATTTACAAGTGTCTCTTCCATGATGGTTAAGGAGGATTGAGAAGACTTCACACTTTACTTATCCATACATTTTAATAAAATCTGGAGGAAAGCAGCTTTGAGGACCCTGCTTCTCTGCCCCCTCTTCCTATATCCATTCGGGTGGAAACAGATCACTGGATGCCAGAAGTATTTGAGCTGGACAGATATAAAGCAATGCAGTGGAGAGAGCCTGATCTAGTGACGACACAGCCTGAAAGTTTTAATGTTGCAGGTTGGTGATGGCTTATCAGCTCTAGCTGGAGAGCAGTGTGCGCATATGTGAAAGGCAGCCTCAGTTAGTAAGACCTGCCTCTATGTCAGCACCGTTATCCTGTTTTCATCTTGACCTGGCTCACTGCTGAGCTCTCATCTGGTTCCAGTCCTCAAGGTTAGGTCAGGTACAGTCAGGTTGCCTATATCCTTGCAACATCCTGAGTGTTGGCCTTTTCCCTGCCACTGCGTTCCACCATAAATAATCTATTCCTGAAAAAACAGCATAAGAAATCTTCCTATTTATGTACAGAGTCCTTTGCTGCGTTTGCATACTACTGGCATAAAATAATCAGGAAAAATTGCTTCACCAAATAAAATTAATGATGGCTAGAGATAGTATGGTAGAGCAAAACTGGCTCAGATTATTATCAATTACAGTTTCAGTCATTAAAGATTTGTAGTAAGCTTAACATCTGCAATGGTTTGGGGCAACCTTTAATATAGACCAGCTAAGAAAACCTCTGTCTCAAACAGATGCAACTACAAGCTAGTATTTTAGACGGTTTGTTTCAGTGTATTTAATTATTCTACACAGCACTATTTAGCATGTTAGTTTAAGATTAAGGAATTACTGAGACAGAGGTGAAGGGAGCACTAGCACTAGCAGCTAACTGAAATCTCCACTTGGTGAAATGTTTGATTTGTGGTACAGTGGAATGAGAGAGATAAAAAAAAAAAAGCAGCTGAACATGATGGTTCCAATTCTAGTCTTTCTTAACATATGTAAATATATTGACTCACACAGGCGGGAATACTCCCAATTCACAGTGATGTAAGCAAAACCAGAATCAGGCTTGATTAGTCTGGCAGGCTTTGATGAATGGAAAGAGCTAAATTTGTCCTGCGGAAGGAACAAGGTTAGAAGAAAGTCAGGCTTCGTGCGCTTGTTTGTATCTGCCTAGAGTGGGTACTACTATCCTTAGTTTAAGTGAATGGGGAAGTCTGATTTTGCACGAATGGCTATGTAAAATGCAAAGCAGCTGAGACTCGGGCTTCTGCTAACTTTTGCACTGCCGTTGTTTCTGTATCTGCAATGGAGCTGTCTTGTTTTACACCAGTATGAGGAAGATCAAGTCCTGCTGCCAGGCTAACAACCCTTTCCTCTTTTTCTCTGTGCTCTGAAAAAACTGCTACCATTTGAAGAATATCTTTGCATATTTTTCCATAGTTAAAAAGCTGAAACTAAATAAAATTTATAAATTATTTTTGGAAACAAGCTCTCAACCAAATTATGTTCCTGGTGCTATTAGAAGAGAATTATTCAAGTACAGAAGGATATCATAGCTTATACAGCTGAAGAGCCACTTTAATATTCAAATGCATCCGAGATAAAACGAGCAGCCTGAATTTATAAGATGGCCCATGGAAATCCTATAGACTTATTGCTGTGAAGTTGTGGTACAAAACCACTAGATTGTATCAGAGGAGTTCTGCTGGCCTAAAACTGGAACATTGAAAATAGTTGTTTTTCTAATGACACTTAAAATGCTTAATATCCCAGAATAAATAAGGTAATTAAAGTATTTTATTTCAATAATAGTAGTTTAATATTCATTATAATTGTTTGCTATTCAGGGAGCAAAATCAACAGCAACCATTTTTTCCATTCTGTCGTTCTTTTAGCTTTCCTTCCATTTTCCCGATTATAATCAATTCAATGCTTTATCTTTTTATTCCTCACATACCTTTATTTCTCTAGGTGGAAAATAGCCTGTCCTCTCTAGCTTCCAACCTTCTTTTCCTTTTATTCCCTTTCCTCCTGCCTCTTCCACCCTTTAAAAAGATTTTTAATTTTATGGGGACATAAACAATAATAATACTTGCCATTTATATTGCAGTTTGCACATTCAAGTACTGCACTGACACTACAAATTGAGTAAGAACTTGCAAGAGTCTTCTGATTCAGCACTATTTGTCACAGAGGAAATGGAGAATTAGATCCCCATTTCTCTCACCTTAGTTGCAGAGCAGTAAAGCCCTTCCCAGAATGGTTCCACCTTATCCCTGCCTGACGAATTGCTGCCGACAATCAGAGCTGTACTTCAGCAGCACTGGAGAGCCCCTGTTGTCAGTGATAAATAGATGAATTTGGAGTACTGTACAATCCCTGTTCAACTTTCCTCCTGTAAAGAGGAAAGGGGTTAAATATAGGCTACCATATTTCGTTTAGCAGATGATGTAGAAAAAGAATATAAACTAAGAAAGGACTAGGAAAATTTATAGGAAGGTAATGCAAATTTGAGGTGGGAAGGAAAAGGCTGTTTCCACTTCCTTTTTCAACTTATTCTAGTTACATAAAGATCATGTTTTTTATATCTCTGCACTCCCCAAAATAACATTGAGAGAAGATAATGTCAAAACAGTAGCAAGAGGGTTAGAAAAACTGGGCTGGTCTGCTATGCCTTTTTATTCCCTCCTTTAAAACCTCCTTGTTAGGTCCTTACCTAGCACACACTGCTATACTTTGCGTGTTCAGAGCCTCCCCAGGATAGACACTGCACAGATCTGTCCTTTGTTCATATTAAATCCCACTCCAAAAAATGGTGTGGTCTTTTCTTTCCACTGGAAGTAATACATCACTTCACCTATATTACGTCTACATTACATTTAAACTTTATGCAAGTACTTTCAAAGCAAGGAGAATTTTTAATATATAATCTTGGAACAAATGGCAGCAAATGACTCATTTTATGCCAGTACTACATCTTCTGCAACTTCACATGCATTATCACCTAGGCATTAGCTTGTTAGAGAAGAAATCCCTTAAGATTTCTACCACATCCTACCAGCAGCAATGTTGCTCCAAGGGCCAAACAGAAAACCATAGGTCCGGTGAGGTCTGTCTCATTCATAATGCTGCCATCTGCAGGCTTCATTGGATTAAGAACTGTTAATGTTTTTTGCCATATATGCTCAAAATTGATCCCAAGTTCTGCAATGAGAAATTCCAGGACTGTTAATTGCTCACAAGAAAACACTTTTACAGAAACCCATTAGATACTACGAAACCCCAAACAAGCAAACAAATTAATCACTTTAATGAAGATAATATTGTAGGATGATGTATTCTGTAGTAGGAACATGATGCCCCTGCTATATACCCAGTATATCTGAGAGTCAGCTCTGATTCTAAATTGGAATATTAATTTATTAAATCCAATTTTAGGCAGTGAACCAAAAAATGCCCTCAGCATTTTTGAGTTAATATTTGTTTTTCTTATATTTAAAACACATATATCTAATGCCACACTAACTTAGATGTTGAAAAATATGCTACTTAACACTAACTGCAGAATTCAGGATACTCTAGAACATCGAGGACAGAGATATATGCTTTAATTCTGGCAAATCTGACAAGAGATGTGTCTTAAGCCTGAACTGCCAGAGGCACTTAAAAATGACATTCTTCCCTTCAAGCCCAGTTAATAATCCTTTGTACAGTGCTTTATAAGCTTTTCTTGCATTTAAAAAGTAATTACTGAGGACCCCTAGAAACAGAACAAAATTATTCCCCATTAAAGTTGATGGGAATTCTGCCATTAACTTTACTGGGGCAAAGATTTCTCTTATAACTTCTGCAGAAACACTTCAGCTTGCAAGAGTAATCATCTTCCCTCAGACGCTCCAGTGAGGGAAAAGTTAGGTTCAGAACTGGGTACCAGAATTACTGAGACTGTCAATGTGTTAGATCTGTTTGGAAAGCCAAGTCTTTACCTTATTCCACTGATCCACCATCTCAAGCTGAGCCAAAATATTATATAAATAAAGTTATTCTGTATTAAAATGTGTGTCTTTGGTCAGATTTATGTGGTACACAGATAGGAACATCTCTGAAGCCCTGCGGATCAGAAGCAGTCGTACGTCAACATCCTTTTCACAGGGTGAGCTGCATGTGGAGTTGAATGCTTGGAGGTCTGAGAGGTAGAGATCTAGCAGTTATCTATATCAAACAGAGTGATCTTGCTGGTTTTAAGGCAGTAGTAGTATCTTTTAAGCAGTAAAAACGCCACTTGCATTCCAGTATGCAAAAGCAGGCTGAATATGCTCTTTTTACATTATGCTGAAATAATCACAAATAAGTTCTCCATTTTTTTTAATGTAGCAAAAGTATTTTGTAAAATACAAAATCAGCCACTAGCATTAGGATGGTTCAATCATCATAAAGAATTATATTGTTTGTGTAGTTAAATGAGCAACTAATTGAAACTGGAAGCAGCTTTCTCCATTTCTTTCCCACTGAAACAAGCTATTTAGCATCTTCAAACTATTACATTTATTACTAGATATGAAAAAAGGATTATTATCAGTATTTATTAATTATAGATGTTCCAATATGCATGCAGGATAAACAGAATGGAAAAAAAAATTTGGAAATGTGATTGCAGAACTTATTGTTATGCTGTCATCTAGTGGTAGTAAAGTATATGCCATATGCCATAGTAAAGTATATGCTATATATTCCATAAGGCTGAATGAATCCATGGCAAATTCAAATAAGAAAATGTAGGTTTGGGGGCCAGGGACTGTTGGCTGAAGCTCACACAGCCAGGCTTGGCAGCTCTGCTGCAGTTTTTCTAGTGACTGCCACTAGCTGGCAAAGAAAAGTATAGGCACCCCCAGGAACCACGTACATCGTCCATGGTTTTATTTTTACCTTCTAGCAAAGGAGGTTCCTCGTCAAATCCGTCAGCGTAACTGAGATGAGAGAGAGTGTCGGGACTGTATGTCGGTTGGAAAATCTGACCTGTGTAACTCTGAGATGACAGAAGCATTTCTGGTGGGGCAAAAGCACTGGCTGGAGGTTGCTCTCCTGCCCGGCTCCTAGGACAAGAAACAAATCACAGCAAAACAAGTGACAACAAGCAAACTGCAGCGATCAACTTCACAACAGCTTAGAGCTGCTCCCCACGTGCCACAGTTTAAATTTTCACCTATTTTCAATTTGGGGAACCTGGAAATTTTCTGGGTACAGTATCTGCTCTGTGTATTGAATGCCGAGCCACTGATGATGGCTTTGCTTCCCTTCACTGCAACCCCCTCTGAAACCAGGCAGGGCTCCTTGCCGGCCTGCCAGCACATTGCAGCCCATCACACCCACTTCTGTGCCCATCCAGCTCAGGCAATTGCACAGCACAGGCCCCCAGGCTGGGGTTGGGGCGAAAGGGAATTTAGGAGCTGTGAGGGCACCCACAAATTTAGGCACTCCTGACTTTTCCACCAAGCAGCCCGGTGACATTCCCCAGATATGTCCATACTGCTAACAAAAGAGCCATATATTTAATATTTTTTTTCTTTCTTGAATCTGAGAAGGAGCTTAAAGAATTTCTAGAAATATGTGCCCTAAAATCCACATTAATAGCACGAAGCTCAGTCGCTCCAATTCAGTAAACAACCTGCAACATCTGTATATATAAAAGTAGCACAAAATCCAGTCCTTTTATAAAGAAAGGCTCATTTACAAGTAATTCTGCCTTGGGGAAAGTCTAGATGATCTCCTGAAGCTTTTTGTTCCTCCTGCAAGCCCCACAGGCAGCCGGATCCATCAGCTGCTGAACAGGGAAGCTGCAGCAGCACCCAGCCTCCTACCGCAGTTGTGTCGAAATCTCCTTAAGGGGGAAACCCTCAGAACTTCTTTCCTCAGTGTCCCTCTTCTGTGGGCAGAAGTCACCAATAGGTTTAAAGAACATAAGAAAAAAATGAAATAATAAGATTTTTCCTGTCTTTCTATTGCTATGGCTTGTATTTCTCCACTAAAATTTCCACTTTATTGATTATGCAATCCTTTTTTTCGGCCATTGCATGCTAGTTTTTGTCATTAATTTCATTTGAGCTTTGAGATATATCACCGTTTCTCTCTCTGTTTGTTTTTTTTTTTTTTGTAGCATACTTACTTTCTGCTTCCACACAGGTTTTCGTTAGACCCATAACTGTTGTAACCTTCTTCCTGGTCATCTATGGTATAATTGGACTGGTAAAAGTCGAACTGAAACTGCTCAAAATTTGACATTCTGGTTGGAAAAATGATTGTAAATATCAATAAAATAGCCTTTGCAACAAGCCAATATCTATGTTTTGAACTGTCCTAAACTTAAATGAAAATAACAAACCTTAAAGCCACAAACTTAAGAGAATCTTTCTGTTGAAACTCATGATAATTGGGAATTGACAAGAAAGGACTCTCTACTTTCTTTTGTTGTAACAAGAGAAATTAGTCTTCTGTTACTCTTAATTACTGTATATTAATTTACAAGTGGTATACAGGACTTCCTCTCTTGTTACTGTTACCAAAAATAACTAAGTAATTTTGAAAGAAGATATATATCAAGTAAACCACTGTTTTAAACTGTTCATTCTCCTACTTTAAAAGAAAAATTGTGCCCATGTCTGAATGCTTAGAAATTAATGTTTTTAAGAAGTATTTTGGGTTTCAAAAACAATTACTATTTTCAGCTATTTATGTTTTGCAATTTTATATATGACTATCATAAAACATTAGGAAAATACAAATATCGTCACAGAATTTGTGATTTCTGTTTAAGGACACTGTAGTTGGCTTATTAGGAGTACCAGAGGAACATTCTCACTGGTTAGCTACATGCCGTTGAAAAGGACAGCATACTGAATGATCGCATAGTAAAGAAAGCAGGTTAAAACACGTCTTTCATTCCTGCTGATCCATAGTTCAGCTCTGTAGCTATGGACTGATTAGACTAAGAAAGGAAAAACTTGACTGTTTTCCCTTCCACATTGTGACCAACTGTTTTTATAACTATTTCAATTTTGCACACACTGGGCCCATTTCATGTATCCTGTGTGTAGGCAGGACTAGCTGTCTGGATCACACATAAGCAACATAAGTGTCCTGGTTTTGCCTGGGATAGAGTTAACTGTCTTCCTAGTACCTGGTATGGTGCTGTGTTTTGGGTCCAGTATGAGAAGAATGTTGATAACACACTGATGTCTTCAGTTGTTGCTCAGTAGTGTTTAGAATAAAGGATTTTTCAGCTTCTTGTGCCCAGCCAGCAAGAAGGCTGGAGGGGCACAAGAAGTTGGGAGGGGACACAGCCAGGACATCTGACCCAAACTGGCCAAAGGGGTATTCCATTCCGTGTGATGTCATGCCCAGTATATAAACTGGGGGGAGTGGGGGTGGGGGTGGGGAGATAGCCGCTCGGGAGCTAACTGGGCATCGGTCGGCAGGTGGTGAGCAATTGCCTTATGCATCACTTCTTTTGTATATTCCGATCCTTTTGTTGTTGTTATTGTCATTTTATTATTGTTATTATTATCATTATTAATTTCTTCTTTTCTGTTCTATTAAACTGTTCTTATCTCAGTCCATGAGTTTTACTTTTTTCCCCTGATTCCCTCCCCGTCCCACTGGGTGGGGGGAAAGTGAGTGAGCAGCTGTGTGGTGCTTAGTTGCTGGCTGGGGTTAAACCACAACAACAAGAAATGAAGCACATTGGTTCTGTAACACATTGTGTACCTTTTGGCATTACAGAGTGTTTCAAATTGCAAAGATATTTTATTAGTTCTTAGATTTGGTCTAGGTGCTTCTTATGTTATTAGCATGGCTGACTATAAATCCACAAAACAGCTCCAAAGTTCGCAGGTCTACCTTCGATGCTTTGAGCAAGACTATCCACAAGATTAAGGACTGACCCTGTTTCGCCTCAGTGTTACCTTCACGCTGAGCCACAGGCAGCAAAGACATTACAGCGGCTCAGAGCAGCACAGCGGTTCAGGGAGTGCCCCAGCCGCCGACGGGTTGAGGCTGGAGGGCCACCCTGGGGATTGCCTGGTCCAACACTCTGCCCAGAGCAGGGTCACCAACAGCACGCTGCTCAGGGCCGTGTCCAACCTTTTGAAAAGTCTGGCTTCATCATCTTTAATCCCTTCCATCAGGTGGTTATGTTCATTGATGAGATCCCCCGAGCCCTCTCTCCTCCCATCTAAAGTTCTTCAGTGATTTAGGCAAAGGTCTGAGCAGGATTTGCCTGAAAATGCATAGATGTAGGCACGTGTTTCACCACTTGGCTAGCATTTATGTAGTCAAACTCTTAAAACACACAGAGAAGTTCTGTAACCTGACTGATAACCATAACCATATCCAATTTACTCAGATTTTCCTGTAAGATATTCACCTCTCCTAACATTTCCCGTTTTCTTCACTTTTGCCCTCTTTTCCAACCTTCCAAATGCCATTGGCAAAAATATGCTTTTCCTCTCACGGTTACTCTCATAGGTATCTCTATATTTATCAAGCATGCACTGCTTATGGAAAAGATCTTTGCAAATCTCTTTATAAGGTAAAAGTTATAAAGATTAGTATTTCCTCAGGGACCTTGAAATGCTGCATACTAAATTTTCTAAATTGTATCCTATAATCAGACTAATCTGTGAGGACCCAATTCCTTCATTTAGCTAGAGCATTCAAAGTAGAAGTTATTCTTATATTACTTTCTTAACTGCTGACCAATCATGCAGGATTTCCAAATTTAGAAGAGAAATAATTTTTACATTGTAAATATGAATTAATAGAAATTAATTCTACTAAGCTATTTACTGTGGTTCTATTTGGAACTGCACACCAGTTAGGCATTTGTCCAACAAAGATTTTAAATGGAATATGTTTTGAAAAACTTTAGTTGGTACCTCTACCCCAATAGCTCAATTCAGTATGTCTTGAATGTTCTTTGCTGTCACTATAAGGAATAAAATAATTACTTAACCAGGTATGCTACAATCTGTACAACAGAGTTCAGAAAAGATAAATTTATTTTCCAAAAGAATTTGGAGGTAAGGTTACTTACTTTTCAAGATATTTGATGAAAACGCCAGTCTGTTGAATTTACATGTTGGAGAACACCTAAAATATCCTCTTGCTTCAACAGGGATGAGCTTAGTGCTATTTATAAGATTCTAAATTTGATCTTTGAACAGATGCATATGAAGGAAAAAAACCCCACAACCTGTCAATATCACAGCCAGCATTTAACAAGAGCTAACAACAATAAGCAGAAAAAAAGGCTAGGAACCTTCAAGGAAAGCAGAACAAAAAGAACAAATACTGTTCCATATATTTTAACCCAATAATCTAGATTGTAGGTTAGAGCTTCCTTCTTAAGTAGGTATTTATGAAGATCTCGGTGGAGCCCTCATGACCTGAGCTGTTAGATTTTAAAAAGTTTTAACAACATGTGATAATACCTGTTAAATTAATAGGGTGAATACATGTACTCGGGGACCGGTTTCTAGCAGACGCTCCCACAGCGTGCGCTATGGGACACACGCAGCCGTAGAGCCACTCGGCGCGGCTGGCGGAGGGAGCTTTCGGCCGCCTGCTTTTTGGGGAGAACGTGACGCTCCCTGAGACTGCAACAGCAGCGGGGGGGAGGGGGGGGGCACCATGAGGCCAGGTCCATCCCCTGGTCCAAGGCCAGGGCTCCATTCTCCAGGCACATCCCCCTGCCCCGCTGCTTTCTCCAGGAGCTCTGGTCCGTTTGGCAAAGCAGTCTCCTGCCCGCTGCGCCACGATCGGGGCAAGCCTTTACTTGAAAGGCAGGGAACCCTGCTCTGCTCTTTGGGGGCCTTTGTTGGGTGTGTGGGCATCAGTTCATGGTTAATTTTTTTCATGCAATGCTCAGCGTGATAGCCCTTTCGTTACCTGACCCGTTATGAAAAAAAATATTAGGAACCTCTGTTCTATAGTCCTGGTTATTAGAAAACTTGTAGCACGGTATAGATTCTGAAATAGCATTTAAACTTCAAAGACAGCTTTTCTATTTACACACGCTTTAGTATCAGATACTTTTCCAGTCATAACAGGTGCTGCCTTTTTCACTTATTTATAGGATAGCTTCCCAACGAGTGCTTGGGCTAGTTAATTTAAGGAATGGGACATTAAATGGGATGTATTATCAGGCCATTAATATATGCCTCAGGTGCATATTAAATTCTGTGAAGTTGAAGGCCAAATGACTTCCATTTCATTAGGAGAATAATCATGCCCTATTAGTACATGACCTACAATGCTATGAAAGAATTATAATATAGGTGTATTTTTAAATAAGAAAAAATGAAGTATACCAAGTCTTCACTCAGTATGTATGTCCAAAAAAGAGCCCAGAAGTGAAGGATGGTGAAAAGTAGAAAAATATAACATTTGTTTCTGCTAATTAAGGGTAATCTAACTATGGTATTTATTACAGCTATTGTTAAGCCTCCCTCATGCTCTTGAACTTCTCTCCTGCCATTTCCAGAGTAACAGTTCATGCTGTTACACCCACCAAGGTGAATTTTCAGCTTTGATATTTAGCGAACTGCTAATCTCTATAATGTCTAATCATCTCAGTTAAGATAATATGATTTGATCTTGTTTATACCAAATCAGTGGGGGGAATGATATAGGATTAACTTTTGTCCTTCAGAAGGGTAATTAAAAATTGGGTTTTATTAGGGATAGAAAGATCCTAATTTGCTAGGGTTATGCCTCTTTGTTTTAATTACAAAAAAGACTTGACTACTTTTGCTACTTTCCGTTAGAAAAAGTTTTATATATATATACACACACAGACACTGCATACGAATATATATATATATATATATATGCAGACTGGCTGCCAGATAAGAACTAGGAATAATTATCAGACAATGCACTTCAGAGAAGGAATTTAAATAGAAAAAAAATACAATGACTAGTAGTGGAGAATGGTTGAAGAATACTTTAATAGCTGTTTAACTTATCACAGTTAGAAAAGAAAGCCACCTGAAAATTTAAAACAAAAAAAAAAAAGAAGATGACGTTAAAATTGAAACATATATATATTTCTCACCATATATAAAATTAAAATATAATATACCATATTATACATTAATTATACATGTATACTACATTAATATCTGTGTGTATATAGGCATATAAATGGACATCTAAAATACAAAAATGGAAAATAATATTATTTAGAAATGATGATGCAGACAATTGATTAAAAAATAAAAAGCATACAAGATTAAGTAATTGATAGGAAAGTGACTGATAGAAAAAAGGACTGTCCAAGTGTATTAGAAGCAGACAGAATCATACCAGTACTGCCATTCTCCTATCAGATGAAAAAAGACAGAAACATTTAATTAGAAATGTTCAAATCAACATTTTAAAATTCTGCATCTGGAAGTTTTAGAACTGGTCAAAAACGTTCTACATTATTGAGTTGTGAAACAACAGGAAAGTTTGAGAAGATCAAAAGTAAGTAAATACTCCATTTTGAAAAAGGCTAAATGAGATGCCCTGAGTAATTATTGGCCTGTCACCATGAGATTAATCCTAGCAAATTATGGGCTCAAATAATAAATAACTGAATCGATGAATCCAATCAACATGGGCTCTTGGAAACTAGCTCATTTCAAACTAATTTATTTTCTAACAAGATTTGTAGTTGGGGAAGGTAACCACTGATGACCTATATTTATACAAGGCATTTTACTTGATTTTGCTTCAATAAATATAGAACCATCACTGCTTAATGGGACAACCATTATACTGATTAAATAAGTGCTGTCTGATGTGTCTCGAATGTAATTGTAAAAGAAGGGAGGATTTCTAATGGTGCCTTACAGGACAGAAACTTTACAAACCTTATCTAGCAGGCACTTTGAAGCAAAATCTACCAACCAGAGCCAGTCACAGGGTGATTTGACCAGAATCTGTTAGGACAAAACAGACAGCAAGTAATAAAAAGAGCCTTGAAGCTATTAGTGAATGGTAAAATAAAACTCAGAGCGGAAGAACTTGGAAATTTTCAGAGTGACAACAGCAGTTTCCCAACAGTGCTAGCAAGTTTCCTGTAATAGGTCTGATGGTCTGATGAGATATTATATTTTAGTTCAGGTAAGGAATTAATTCAGTAACGCTCAATGACCTTCATTTATCCAGGACTACAAACTGGATAGCTGTATTGGGTGTGGCTGAGGTGGAGTTAATTCTCCCCACAGCAGCCCTCGTAGTGCCTGTGCTGTGCGTTGGTAGCTAGAAAGGTGTTGATAACACACCAGTGTTTTGGCTACTGCTGAGCAGTGCTGGCACAGCATCAAGGCTGGCTCTCCAACATTGCCCCCCCAGCCCTCACCAGCAGGCTGGGGGTGGGCAAGATCTTGGGAGGGGACACAGCCAGGACAGCTCACCCAAACTGACCAAGGGGATATTCCATACCTTATGATGTCTGCTCAGCAATAAAAGCTAAAAGAAAGGAGGAGGGGGGACATTCGTTATTACGACATTTGTCTTCTGGAGTAACCGCTACGCGTACTGAAGACCTACTTCCCGGGAAGTGGCTGGACATCACCTGCTGATGGGAAGTAGAGAATAACTCTTTTGTTTTCCTTTGCTTCCACATGCAGCCTTTGCTTTTGCATTATTTAACTGCCTTTATCTTGACCCATGAGTTTTTTCCCATCTTATTTTCTCCCCTCCCGCCCCCGTCCTCCTGAGGAGGGGAGTGACAGAGTGGCTTGGTGGGCCCCTGGCCCCCAGCCAGGGTCAACCCACCACAATAGCACAGGTCCCTTCTAGTCTTAAAGTCTACAAATAAGAAATTACTTCACTCAGGGGCAGGTTTGAAGACTAAATAAACCATTCTGAGGTGAAAAAAACTATAAGGCTGAAAAGAATCAGAGAGGGGCTAGGAAAAATGGATGTGTCCATGATCACAATAGCTATAGCAAACATTTAATGTTGAAGTTTGGTGTGTAAGGAGCACTCAGTCGATATTTACCCGTACAGGTCACTGAGCAACTGGGTTGCCGGAGCTGAGCATTTCTTCAGATACCTGAATGTTCAGTCCATCACTGACACACCACATTAGAGAAGGCTGTCACACATGTGTTAACATGAGGCAAAAATAAATTGTTGCACCTCAAGGCTTTAGAACAGAATGTGAATATAACCTCACTTTCTTTGACTGACAGGTACACACGATGTTAATAATCTAGGGGAAAAGTAGTTTGGATGAGGTCTAGCCATCAAAAATGAAAATAAGAATTGAACCTGATGAGTATAAAAAAGATGAACAGAATTGATGAAAGATGTGAGAATTTCTACAAGAAATTAAAAAATTTTTTCTTAACTAAATTGCTAGCGTTTTGTTTACCTACTTTTTCCATCTTTCCTGAAAAGGAAAATAGGCATTATGGGAAGAAGTGAAATATCATCACTTTTCATAAGCTTATATTTTTCTTTTCAGCTTTTTTGACAAAATGGGGTAATAATTAAAATATTTTTAAAATTTCTGATAAACTTAAAAAAAAATAGCACAAGATTAAATGAGATAAGATAGAAAAGACTATAGAATTCTGGGGATAGAATCAGCTATGTAACCCTATATTTATTACTCAAAGTAAACTTATGAGTACAGCAAATCCATTATAATAATTAGTCAATTATTCTATAGTTTTTTCAAATGTAAAAATTAATCATATTAAGGATTAATTCAGTAAGCCTTAAGCTTAATTACTTACGTTTACAGGCCCCATTAATAATTTTCTAAGTGGAACATTATTAAAATATATTAATAAAGAGGAGAGGAAAATTTAATTGCAAAGAAACATACCATTTACTACTTCTATGAAATATTTTTTTACCAAATTACTTATTTACATTATATAAAGTGTCTACTAAATGATTTTTATGCATATAGGCCTCAGACACATCTACTGTAATACCCTAATTCTTTCCTATGACAGGTCTTCAGAGGGTGGGTAAGAGGCAAAAAAAAAAGTGAAATCCAAAGTTATTAGTGTTTTCCTTTTTTTATGCTGAACAAATTTGCTAGACTTGAACAAACAAGT